TTCGGATATAATGAGAATTTTCACAATATTTTTCTATAGTTTCCGATTTTTTTCAGGAAAATGCAAGAAAAATCCGTAAGAGAGTTCGACAAAACGCAATAAGTAAAACCACTTGTAGGAACAACAAATTGAAAACATAGATTTTCAGGCAAGGAAAAATGCAACATAGAATTTCTAGTGCCAATTAATGTGTTATAAGGTTTTTAATGTACTTGACCCTTCGGTATTTATAGTTTTCGTATAAAATATAACATAATATATATGAAAATTACTAAATGTATCATTAAACTATTTATTTTGAAAAACAATCGAAATATTCGAAACTAAAATCGGATCGAAAATCGGAATTTTCGATAATTTTATATACAATTCTGATTCCGTTCCAAATAAATTCGGAAGAATCGGAAATCGGAATAAAAAATACGATTCCAAATTCGGATATTTCCGATCGGAATTGGCGGGATTCGAAAAATTAATTCTAATTTCCACCTTACCCGTACAAAATTGAACCCAAATTGGCCGGTATGTGGGCCGGGCCGTATACTGGGCTTAGATCCAGATACATTTATAAATAACGAGGCCCAAATATAAGTTGGTCCAAATTATAATATAATTTCAGATCCAAGAGACATGGATCTAATGACCCAATGGACCTTTTTTTGTTTTTTTTACATCATATTAATATATTTTTTTATTATAAATTATATATATGTTAATAAAAAAATTGTAGAATAAAAAATAAAAATGAAATTTATTAGTTAATCTTATAGATATTATTATCATATATCTTTTACTACTATACTTTTAGTTCTATTTTTATTAAAAACTAAAAACATATATAAAAAATGTTTGCCGGCTTGTGAGCTTATGAATATCTAAGGACATAATCGAGCTAGTGAATTCACGGTCGAACTTAAAAAACTCGAGCTTGAGCTCGAATTATTGTCGAGCCAATTTAATGAGTTCATGAGCCTGGTTTAACTTGTTTACACCCCTAAATTAAAATGTGTTGGCCAACGCCCAGTTTGGACGTGACAGGCCTAATGTTTTTTTTCTTTTTTTTTTTTTTTAATAAATCTAATTAGTTGCTAAGTAAGTAATAAGTTAATTTTAAACAATTATTAACAACTTATTAATTAATAATGGAACTTTATCCGATTAGTCCAGGGCGATCCCTGAACTTAGTTGATGCTTGAAAAAAAAATTACAAACATATTATGAGCTGTTTTTTTCTCTCGTAATCTATTTTTAAGTAATTATATGAACTTTTGTTTTTGTTTCTTTTAAAATATACAATTTTGAACTATAATTTATAACTTTTATAAAAGAAAGTTTTAAATTCAATTTAGCTTATAATTTATAACTTTTGTTTTTAGATAAGCTTTAGAAAATACAACTTTAATCTATACACGAAGCTCAATAATTAGAGAATATAACATGTACACTAATTTTAGGTAACTAGTACTAATCCAAACTTTGACATTTTCCATAGTTGACAAATGACAACCCCACTTTGCAATTAATAGATATTGATAAAAAAAACAAAATAAAAATAAAAATGACGTGTCACCATCTCAAGAATCCAGCTCACAAACTCTCATTTACTTTTTCTTGGTCTTTATTTAATTAATTAATAATTCCATCTCAATTATTCAGAATTTATTCCAAATTAAATTAAAAATTAAAAATTAAAAATAAAAATTAATTCATTCCTTCAAACTCAAGCAAATAATCGAACCAACCCACCACCTTCTTCTCCCCCATCGGACCCTTTCTCCTCTTTTCAGATTCTCTAGAAACATTTGCTCCGCCGCCGCCGGAATATTCCACGCGGGATTCCATGTCGAACGCATAATCCATATATATATATATATATATAATTTTGTATCAATTGCAACAAAAATTATTGATTATTCAAAGCCATGGAACCGTTTGGGGTGCTGGGCGTGGACCTTTCGCCGCGGGACCTCCGCGAAACCGCCTACGAGATCCTCGTCGGAGCGTGCCGGAGCTCCGGCTCCGGTCGGCGGCTGACCTACGTTTCCAATTCCAGCTCTAGGGATAGGTCGTCTCAGCAGCTGTCTCCGTTGTCGTCGTCGTCGGTGCAGCGGTCTCTGTCGACGTTGGAATTGGATGCGAGCGCCGTGAAGAAGGAATTGGGTCTCAAGGGGAGGAAGAAGAATAAGAGCGACGCCGATAGATTGGGCGGCGCGGCGAGTGAGGTACAGAGCAACTTGGTGAGAAAGAGGGCTGGGGTTACCGTTGGGGAGCTGGTCCGGGTTCAGATGAGGGTTTCGGAGCAGACCGATTCCAGAATCCGACGTGGCTTATTGAGAGTGGCTGCGGGGCAGGTCAATTTTATTAATTTTTTTTTTTTAATTTTAAACCTTGACAATTTTATTTTTACTTGTGAAGAATTTGAATGCTGGAATTTGTAAGGAAATTAGTGTTTGGAGGTTATACAATCTGATTTGGTGATAATGGAGATAATTTGTAAGAGAATCACTATATTCAATGATGGGAACTCGAGCAACTTTAACTTAACTAAATTTTCTGAAGAAGCTATATTAAATTTGGGGAAATTTATTGGTTTGCATTAGAGAAGCTTGTATATTCGAAGTGTCGATTCAGTCGTTAAAATGGTTTCGAGTACACTCGAAGGGTAGGTGTATGTATCATAGAGCTGTACTCCACTTGTTTCTGCAAAAACGCTTCTAATTTGTCGTCAGATGTGATAATTATGTAATGTTACAGCATTACGCCTTTACATTTTAATTATGTTAGTTTTTTCATTTATTGCAGCTTGGAAGACGTATCGAATCCATGGTTCTGCCTTTGGAGCTATTGCAACATTTGAAGCCATCCGATTTTACTACTCAGGTTGAATATGATGCTTGTCAGAAAAGAATCTTGAAAATCCTCGAAGCTGGACTCCTTCTCCACCCACACCTGCCTCTTGATAATTCCCAAACAGCCCCTCAACGTCTTCGGCAGATATTACACACAGCCTCACAGAAACCCATTGAAATTGGAAAGCAGAGTGAATCGATGAATATACTCCGTAACGTTGTAACTTCACTTGCTTGCAGATCATTCGACGGTTCTATGTCCGATACATGCCATTGGGCGGATGGAATTCCACTGAATCTGTATCTGTACAGGATACTTTTACAAGCCTGCTTTGATATAACTGACGAATCATCTGTTATTGATGAAGTCGATGAGGTATTGGATCAAATAAAGAAGACTTGGGTAGTCCTCGGGATAAACCAGGTGTTTCATAATCTCTGTTTTTTATGGGTTCTATTCAACCAGTACATTAGTACAGGCGAAATTGAAGATGACCTTGTTTTCGCTACTGAAAAAATGATGGTGGAAGTGGAAAAGGACGCGAACTCAACTAACGATCCAGCATATTCTAAGATCTTATGTTCAACGTTAGGTCTTGTATTAGATTGGGCAGAAAAAATGCTTCAACGATACCATGAGACTTTCTACAGAGGAAATCTAGACTTAATGCGAAGTGTTTTGTCCCTTGGGATATCTGCTGCACAAATATTGGACAGTGGTAAGAAGAACAAAGAACTTGACGTGGCATGTAGCAGGGTTGACACGTATATCAGGTCATCATTGCGTAGTGCTTTTTCTCAGGCAAGTATTAGGATTTACTTTTTCTTTTAGGCAAAATTTACTCTTTATTACGATGATAGTTGATTTTTTTGCCTGTTTTCCCATTTAGGAGTTATTGATATTACTTTGGTCCTCAACTTTGTCTGATTTGTTTCACATTGTTCTTCCAAAGTTAAGCCACGGTTTTCTGGTCTATAATATTTACTCTTATGCTTTTCTCATTGCTCCTGTGCTTTCAGACTTTTAATTAGTTCAATGATGTCGTTGATCAATATTATGCATGTACTGGAATCTGACTTGAAAATTCGATCTTTGGTAATTCGATTGCTGGTAATAAAATTTCATCGTGGTGTTGTGACTCAAAGTTTTTATCTGTACTATTATAAGTATTTGGTAATAAAAGTACTACAGCATATGAAACTTAAATGCTACCGTTCATTTTTTTAACTATCTTAAATAATATTTCATCGCTAGTGTTTTTACCATACCTAACACAGTGTCCGATGTTAGAAGTTGACATTTCCAATTTGAATGTTATTCCCATCGTACAAACAAACAGGGCCTTAGGGATTCTTTGTTCTCGTACGCATATATCTTTTTCTTGCTGTAATTGTGGTCTCAGGCTCGTGTTTGCCCCATTTGAAGACAGGAAAGAGAGAAGGTCATCTCGAGCAGAAAATCTTCTAAGAATCAGCGAAGTCCTCTTCCACTCCTTTCGATCCTTGCCCAAAATATCTGTGACCTGGCATTCAACGAGAAGGAAATATATAGCTCTGTACTGAAGAGATGGCACCCTGTTCCCACAGGTGTAGCTGTTGCCACTCTTCACGCTTGCTTTGCGAAAGAGCTCAAACGATTTGTTTCGGGTATAAGTGAACTAACTCCTGAAGCTATACAAGTGCTGCTAGCTGCCGAAAAACTTGAAAAAGATCTAGTGGAAATGGCGGTTGCCGATTCGCTGGACAGTGAAGATGGAGGGAAGGCGACAATTCAGGAGATGGCTCCTTACGAAACTCAGGCTGTGATTAAAAACTTTGTGAAGTCTTGGATACAGACCAGAGTTGACCGGCTCCGGGAATGGGTTGACAGAAATTTGGAGCAAGAGGTACTTTATGTCTGCTTTTGTTTATTTTGCTCGACAATTTACGTGACATGGGCTTTAGTATTGCTTCAAATTCAGATCCCGTTAAAACATGCAATAATGCAGAATCAAACAGATGAAGTTATCTATTTTTTTTAGCCGAATCTAGTTTACCGCAGCAATAAGATAGTCGGGTTTTTCCTTGCTAAAATATACAATATTCGGTGTGTTGAGCCCATCAATAAAGGAAAAGGAAAAGGAAAAACAAAGCAAAAATGATAATCGTTTGGGTGGATTTGGTTACTGCTGCCGATTCCTCCATTCAATTTGTTGGACTGGCATTATCGGTAATGTAGAGGGAGCCATTCATTTATAAGTTATAAACTATATTGAATGAGGTTATTTTAGGGCGACTCTAACGTTTGTACTTCATCTCTGGTGATGATTGTTTCAGATATGCTTTTATCTGGTTGTTCATAGTTGGATATAAGACTTGTTTACGTATAGTATATTGAATTATACACTATTCTGTTATTGAGACTAACTGGTTTGTTTGTCTTTTTCTTGTTGGCGTTGGTAGTTAATATGCACAAGCGGTCGAATTTATGATGCTTTCTTGTAATTCCCTAAGCCTGTAGCATAAGAAAATTTTCAAATGGCTTTATGATTTCTCCGCAAATGTAGTCGCTATATGAACTATAATTACTTTTCATTAGCTCTCTTCTCCCAATTGAAAACAGGAAATAAGAAGATCACTGTTACCAATTAAATTTGTTCCACGTAAGAGTTAATTGCTATATAAAACATTACCAACTTTTCACAGGAGTGGAATCCTCAAGTAAATAAAGGTCGATTTGCACCCTCTGCTGTGGAAGTTCTACGTATCATGGACGAGACTTTGGAAGCATTTTTCTTGTTGCCAATTCCAATGCATCCACTTCTGCTTCCCGAGTTGATGTGTGGTTTAGACCAATGCCTTGAGAACTACATCGTAAAGGCCAAATCTGGATGCGGTAAACAATTTTTTCAACATTATTTATCCAATATAAATATAAATTCAAGATTTTTGTTTTTTGCTATAGATATTGATGTTGAGCTCTTAAGCAGGATCTCGAACTACCTTTATTCCAATGCTGCCCCCACTCACCAGATGCGCTGCTGCTTCAAAGTTCAGCCCATTCAAGAAGAAAGATCGAGTACCGACGAGCCCAGGAAGGAAATTCCAGAACGGTAATAAACATGAAGATGATTTCTTCAGTGTACCACGCCTTTGCCTTCGTATTAACACCTTATACAACATCACGAAAGAATTGGAAGCACTGGAAAAAAGGACAAAGACTAATCTGAGGAAAAGTGGATTCGCCCGTGACGAAAATGTCGCGAGTGGCAATTTCGTGATTTCGGTATCTTCCTGCACGGAAGGGATGAGGCAGCTATCTGAAGCATCTGCATACAAGATTGTGTTTCAAGAACTAAGGCCAGTCCTTGGCGACTATCTCTACACCGGAGAAACTTCTTCGTCGAGAATCGAACCTTTTCTTCAAGAGGTGGAGCGGTATCTAGAAATAATCTCTGTAACTGTACACGAAAGGGTCCGCACACGTGTCATCACTGATGTCATGAAAGCTTCGTTCGAGGGTTTCATGTTGGTCTTGCTTGCTGGCGGGCCCCACCGAGTCTTTGCCTTGCAGGATGCTCCGGTTATAGAGGAGGATTTCAAGTTATTGACCGATCTTTTCTGGTCAAACGGGGACGGTTTGCCGTTGGATTTGATCGATAAGTTATCGCCTACTGTGACGGGTGTGATCTCTCTTTTCAAAACGGGCACGGACGAACTTGTGGAGCAGCTCAAACAGGCCGTTTTGGATAGCAACGGGGCTCCGGCGAAATCGAGGATGCCTTTGCCTCCAACAACGGGTCAGTGGGGTCCAAATGAACCGAATACTATTTTACGTGTTTTGTGTAATAGGAACGACAAGGTTGCTTCCAAGTTTCTGAAGAGAACGTTCGACTTGCCGAAGAAAGCGTAAATATTGAAATCAGGTTATGGAGTATGATTTGGTGTTTGAATACACGTGTGCAGAAGCTATTTAAAATTTTAAATGGGATTTTCAATTAATGGGGAGCCGAGAGATTATTTATGCAGAAGTGATTTTGGGGGTACTCTATACCTCTGGTTGTTTTTATTTTTTTTTAAATAATTTTCCTTGTGAAAATAGAAGCAGCTAAATTATGGTTTTTGAGGCTGCAGAGTTTGTATATCATAATAGATTGTATATAAACTTCATATTTCAGTAGTGAAATTCATTGATTGATCAACTTTTCAACTTTTCTCTTTTGCTTTTGCTATGTAAACAAATTATTTGATACTTAGGTGGTGTTTGCAAAAGTTTTTTGAAAGTGATTATGAGCTTTTTTTTGCTCATAATCTGTTTTTAGGTGTTTGTAAAATTAACTTTTGTTTTTGCTTCTCTTAAAATAAGCTGGTTTAAACACCAACTTAATCGAGATCTTTTGTAAAAAGTTTGGTTTGTTAACTAAAGACTCAAGTTTGCACATATATAGTTTTGTTCGATAAAAAGTTCGGCTCGAACTCGGTTACGTTCGATTAGGAAAAATATAAATGATGTACAATTCAACAATTTATTTAAGTTCGATTAAAGCTCGTTCAAGCTCGACTGAACCAAAGTTCAAACAAATTAACTAACCAGTCCCATCAAAAAATCTAGCTATCGTTGGAGAATAATATTATTAGAGAACTATCAAACCTAATAAAGTAGAAACTTATATATTACTCTACCTACAATTATCGAGTATAGTAACGGAATTGATGTTTCAATTTTAACCACCAAATCTTGAATTTGGTTATAAAATATTTCAAACAAAAAAATAAATTAAATAAATAAAAATCATCGTAATATATTTTGGTTTTAATTTCAATAAATCATTAACAAAATTCTTCATATTTGGGTGATTGCAACCACCCACCTCAAATTCTTCATCATTATGGTGTCAAATTTAACAGAATTTTCTCTAGTTTGTATCAATTTTGTGCAAAAAGACAGTTTCTGATGCATCACAATCTGATATTTACAAGCCAATATACCCACATCTTATGATAATCTTGTTTCAATATATGTATATGGAGCTGAAATGGGGTAAAATGGGTACAAACTGAAGAATATTCCTCATAATCTAGAAGAATCTACTAAATTTTACACCGCAAATGTGGATGTGTAAGAAGATTCATAATTGATGGTTAATTACCCTTATGAGGGGTCTATTCGTAATTTGACCTTAATTCAGAGGTTAGCCGTAATTTACCCTATAAATGTATATATGTGTGTGTGTGATAGGAGTAAATTATATGCATTTGACAAAGTTGGTAATATAGACAAAAGAATAAAGTAAAATGTAACATGCATTAATAATTCACACAAATCACATCCAACAATGCTTAGAACACAAGATTCCATATCAAACATATATATAGGGATCAAGGGCCATAGTTTTTTTCTACATTACAAATCTTTTTAGAATATCAGAGAAAAAATAAAACCTACAAAAATAAAAAATAAAAAGAAAATATCAATATGGGATTCATAGTAGCATTAATATTATGCTCAATAGTCTCATCATTTTGTTCATCAGCAAATTCACTGAGTCTGAATTATTACAGCAAAACATGTTCGAACGTCGACTCCATTATCAGCAAAGTCGTTAAGGATGCAACATCGAAAGACAATACCGTCCCTGCAGCGCTTCTCAGGCTACATTTCCATGATTGCTTCATAAGGGTAAGCATTATCTGTTTATGTATTTCATCTTAATTTAGTAACTAACTCATCATGATTGTATTTATTTTATCGATGATTTGATTATGTGTTATGTATACGAGAAAAAAAAATAGGGGTGCGATGGTTCGGTGTTGCTGGAGTCCAACGGTGGTAACAAAGCAGAAAAAGACGGAGCTCCGAATCTTTCTCTGCATGCGTTTTTCGTGATAGAAAATGCAAAGAAGGCAGTCGAAGCTGCTTGCCCGGGCATCGTCTCCTGTGCTGATATCTTGGCCTTGGCTGCTAGAGATTCTGTTGTCCTAGTAAGTAATTTTTTTTTTTTTTTTTTGTGTGTGTAAATATATATATATATATATATATATATATATATATATATATATATATATATATATATATATATATATATATATATATAAATGAAGCGTAATTTGAAACGGATATCGTGGGTGGTGATGTATAGGCTGGTGGGCCGACATGGGAAGTTCCGAAAGGAAGAAAAGATGGACGAACATCAAAAGCCACCGAAACCGCAAAATTGCCATCTCCAGCTTTCAACATTTCTCAACTTCAACAAAGCTTCTCTCTACGAGGCCTCTCAACGGATGACCTCGTGGCTCTTTCAGGTCAGCAAATAACCGAATTACAATTTTCACCATGTCAATTATATATTATAAAAAAAAAAAAAAAACGTTTGTTTATGCATGCAGGTGGGCACACACTAGGGTTCTCGCACTGCTCGTCGTTCGAGAAAAGGATCCACAACTTCAACTCGACCCACGATGTGGACCCCACCATGCACCCGTCGTTTGCAGCGAGCTTGAAAAATATCTGCCCCGTTAATAACAACGTCAAGAACGCTGGCGCCACCATGGACCCTTCTTCTACGACGTTCGACAACACATACTACAAACTTATACTCCAAGGCAAAACCCTATTTTCATCGGATCAAGCTCTACTCACCGCTCCATACACGAAAAACTTGGTTTCTAAATTCGCCAGCTCCAAAACGGCTTTCTACACTGCCTTTGCAAACTCGATGATTAAGATGAGCAGCATCAATGGAGGGCAGGAGGTCAGGAAGGATTGTAGGGCTGTAAACTGAAGGCTACTTTAGTAATTTAGCACCATATATTTTAGTAATTAGCCTCTCTATTACAGGCATATATTATCATTGTGGTGATGTTTTAGCAAGGAGAATGTCCAAAATACCCTTGTTATTTTCTGTTGTGTGTCTGAATTGTAATCCGTGCTAGTTACTATAAAATTTTATGCTACTTCATGCTTTACTATTATTTATAGGTGCAAAAATCTGAATCTTGTTGAACAAAAATCTGTGTAACTAAAGTAAAGACAAGCGACCTGCCATTTAAACCGAAGAATTCGGTATGATTAATATCGAGGACTTCAACGCAACGTTGATCATAAAAATTTAGAAGTTCGTTTTGCTCAAAATTATAATTGTGTATGATCATCCAAAACCGATTTAACTTGGTGATTCGAATAGGCGAAAAAGGTGTATGGATGTTGAAAACTTGAAAATTAACTCAGGGTTTCTAGTTTAAAAGTTAAAACTCCTACTTTCGTAAACTCTTTTAAGATTTAAAATCCGAACAATTAATCGCAATCAAAAGATAATGTTAGTCAGATGATTTTATATGTAAGAACAGTTCAAACTAATTCTTGTACAGTCCACAACCTCGTCAACTTAAACAGCAAATCAAAATTGTTTCTCGTCGCTTTACTAGCACCCTATCATACATCCGAACATTAAATAAAAATCTTTTACTCGTCTGCTTTGTCTATTTTTTCTTCATATTAAAGACTCAAATTCTAGCCACATACCGCGCATGCAAATATTTTCTCTGCTATTGTCCTAGATAAGCGCATATCACAAAGTCGAGCTAATACCAAATAGCTTCTTTGTGGAGCTATAGCTAATGCCAAGGATTCTTCTTTCTTGCTCCGATTCTTTTTGAGCTTGTTGTGGTGGTAGCTTTCTGCGAAGGTTAAAAACTTAAGTTACTGACGATGAAAAAGTTTGATATTACTAAATGATACGATTGATCGACTACTGACTCTACATACCGATTTAGATTTCTTGGTCTTCCCACGGATTCTGTTCTTGGGAGATTTCAGTTTGTAAAGACGGACCATCCAATGATGTGTAGTGAATACCTAAAGACAACACCAAAGGAAGTATTAAGAGAAGTACAACGGCAACAAATACAAATGAAATAGAGGAGTGAAGCTCTAAAAACGGCTATTGGGATTAATGGAGAATTGGGTATGAAATGCACGAGATATGTTTACAATGCTATAATTCAATTAAAGTAATAATAAGGGTGAAAAAAAATCCCCTTTTATTCCAACATATGTTCAATGAGGTTGGAAGGAAATCTAGTTTGAATTTTCAATTTATTATAATCGAAAGCACCTTTTCTGCATTTTCTATACGTACTTTGGAATCCACCAAAACTAGGATATCGGAAGTAATTGCATTGAATACAGATAAAGATGAGTAGAAATAAAATGGATATCAGGATTACCTCTTCAAAATGGGTAAGTTTGAAATGCTTCTTTCCGATTTCAGTGTGTCTCACCCGGTCAAAGCCTCTACCATCCGTCTCGACAAATCTACAAGACAATGAACGGCACAGGATAAATATTTAAGGAGCTGAAAATAAAAATAAAAATAAAAATAATTTCTTACATATACCCAATAAATTCGCACCTGTAATATGAAAGTTTGTACATGAGGCTGTTAAGCATGGTTGGCGTTGCTTGAGCATCGATTCTGTACTGACCATCTCTCTGTGACACCATGAAAATTCATTAAACAGAGACCAATGACTATTCAATCCAGTTTAAGTAAGACGATTCATAATATGAACAAAGAGTAATTAAAGAAATAGCACTGCTGGTATTAGTTACAAACCAAATAATCAGGTTCCTTTATGTGAGGAAATACACCTCCACCTATCCGAACCATCCACAGAAACTTGTTAATGTCATCACTTGGATATCCAACAAGACCTGAAATGAAGAAGGCAACTTTGAGCACACGATTTTTCTTAAGAAAACACTTACCCATACAAATGAAGAACTAACCTCCAAAAACTACAAGAACGTATTTTACGTCCAATGAGTTGAAAATTTCCCAAGCTGCCTTTTCAGGAGAGGACATGGCAGTACCAACTGTGGCGATATGCGTGTTGTTCCAGGTATTATTGTCAACGATAACAGTGCGGTTGGCCATAGCAGTTGTTTGGTAACCATAGTCCCACCAAGATGCAACCTGGAAAAAGCAGAAGCAACAGTAAAATAAAAAAAATTAGACGTGGATTCAATCAATACATACTTTACTTTAAATATTTCAGCTAATAATTTTTTTTACTGTCTGTATCATCTAAAATGATCTACGAAACTACAGCAACGGGATAGAGTTTGAATTTCTTTAATAATTCTCTTATTGACCTTCTGGTTTTGATTCCATGAAGTTTGAATCTGTTCATGTAAGCTGAATAGTAAACCTTCGATAAAAATAATCACTCTTAACCATTAATGATTCAACCAAAAACAATTTATTCATGCATAAAAAGTAATGTAATTATAGGAGGCAGCAGCAGTGTCATGCTTCAGATAATGGTCAACTCCACTATCACTTCCATTACACTACCACATGCAGTTCTGATACTAATAGCATTACGAAGAAATGATTGGAGAACAGAAGCAGGAAATCAAGGGGCATAGTGATTACTTACTTTATCATCCACCTCAGTGTTATGGCTCAACCAAGCATATGCCTCTCTGAAGTCATCAAAGACATGAAGGCCGCCGTCATTAGAACGAGTGGTTAGCACAATGGATGGAGCCGAATAAGCCTCTGCAGCAGCCCAGACACAATGGACCTACGACAAGGATTTCCTTGATTAGTTAAACAAGTCAAACGAATATTTCAAACATAAAACTTCATATTCAGTTTCAGGCACATAAATTAAAGATTTCTTTCATTTTGGACAAGACACAGAACATATGAAGTCCAATTTTCAGCTAGGTGCAACCAGATGTTTGCAGATTGCTAGATGAGCATATACTGAGCCTAAAATATGTCAACAAAGAAATGTCACTTAGTAATCTTACTATGTCGACAAAAGATCCAGCATATAAATAGGGTATTTTCCATGAACGGAAGCTGAGCAGGTTAAGGTAAGAGTATTCACTTGAATTTAAAAATTGTAAAGTATATGCATTTCCCTGGATGCTTATAGCATGTTTCATTAACATGTAATTCATCATCAGTGAACCAAAAAGACATCTCATATCTACTTTTCACCACAATAATCACATAAGACAATATATACTCAGCAAAATAATATTCCTCTGTAAGACCAAATGCATGTTAGTCCTTCGGGAAATATTGTCCAAGTGATTAAGAGTTCCGTGTCAAGGTCACGCTCGATATCATTACTAGCATGCACACAAGAGAAACCTAACCAGCAACTGATCACTTACCACATAGAAAGCACCGAGCAAAACAAGCAAGAAAACTGCAATCATAGAAGCCTCCAGGGGTAAGACCAAAAGTCTCTTTTCCTTCCGGGATACAGAAGAAGCTTTTTCTACATTCTCTTTTTCCTTCTTTTTACTTTTCCTTGAACTTCGTTCCTTCACTGAGTCCTCACTTTTCTCAGTCTTCACTGCATCATTTGGGGTGACTTTAGTGGCATCCCCTGCCTTATGAATATCAGAATTTTTTAGTCCCCAAGTTTAAATATATGCTATATCAATTGCTTGCAGAATGATTTGCTTGCTTACATTAATCTGTGGGTTTTCTGTGGCAGCGAGCAACTGAAGTTTAATTGATCTAGTGAGAACATCAAAAGCTTCTGAAAGAGCGATTCCGGACATTATACAAGCTGCTGGAGCAAGTACAAGCATTAGACGTACCTGGCATATGATCAAAGAAATATTACTTGACGTCGGATCAGAAAAACAAGGAAAAATGTGACGTAGACAAGTTTCAAAATTATATACCATGACACCAGAAAAATATACTGATGTAACAATGTAAAGAACTGCAAAAGAGCTTGCATCAGAGAGTGGCATGAAGCATGCCTGCAAGTTCCAACAAGAAGGTCAATTGTTATGCAACAAATTAAGGAATACCAACATCAAGAAAGATAAGTATAATTCCAAGTCAATGAGGTATCGAGAACTTACAATGATGCCGGCTGGAACTAAAAATGCCAAAACATTCAGGTCCATGAAGTAAGATGGCCACGTAGGGGGCTGATGTTCACTAACACTAGCAATAATTGGTATATACTTGCTCGCGTAAGTTCTGTTATCGATTCCACACGGAAAACAAAAGAGCAGAAACAATTAAAGTATTGTCATAATGCTGCCAAGATAATAACTAGCAATCGAACAATAAGAAACAAAGTATCTTGATAGGCAGACAAAATTACACATATCAGTATATTCTTTTCTCAGCATAACGTGGTTATCGAGAAAAGTTAATGAGCTCGTCTCAGCTTCACTTATACAACCTCTGGGACTGGAATATCGGGATGAAGTTATTTTTCCGAATTCAGTACCATTCCACAATAGTAGGGATTTAGAAAGAAAGCAATCAGCTTTTAACTGCTTTTGGTTCTACCAAAGTCTATGGGTCTGATGGGAAGGTGGTGAACAAGCACATATTTCCATGAATTGATACAAAGACAGAAACGTAACTTCTTGTTTATGTTACAGCTAATAATAGTTGCCAGTTTGGCTTCACTGACACATATAGGCAAGATATCAACTGGAAAAGAGGATATCTTCTGAAAACCTGAGTATACAACTAAATCAGCCTGAGATGCCCATATATTACTCAATTCAATGACTAATAATGAGTAAATTGTTCACAAATAAAAGCTACAAAAAACAACACATTCCTCGCACATAAATGGAAGACTTATCTTTCAGTTTACAAATCCATTATATACCAATCATAATGGTAAAAAAGAACTTACGGATCTAGCAGGCTCAGACTTCGTCCACTCCATCCTTTGGTTGGGCTAGAAGCTACCAGTGCTATCAGTACAGCCAAAACCGCAAAACCGACTATCCTGTATAATAGAAACAGAAAATAAGTAAAACAGACAGTTTTATGTCTAAAGTCCGTCTTACATTACTTTTAATAATTTTTGCACATTCAAACTCTTTTTTGTCCTTTAGTCCAGATGACTAACTGAAATGCAGCAAATTTGAAGAGAGAAGACAAAGATGAACAGACTGACGCAATAAAAAATTAAAGAACAAACACTAACTCGTAATTATTGTCCATTGAGTACATTTATAATTAACAGAAAATAAGAGAAGAGGAAATCTTACAGCCCAACCGATACAACAAGTGTAACTGCTACTCTGAACATTTTTGGAGTGAGAATTCCTTTGATATAATAAACCAGAGCCACAACATGTATAATGATGAAGACCTGAGATAATCATTAGAAAACCAATACTTAATAAACAGAGTAACTAAATGCGCGTCATCCCTTACAATACACAATAAAACAAAACTAAAAACATCAACATGTATGTATATTAGAAGGAAGCTTGAATTTGATATTTCGCCTCATGACACTATTCGTTCCTGTTGAATCCCCATTTCAATCAAAAGGTTTCCTTCTCATGAACAGGAACTTCACAACATTTTAAGAGCATTAAGATAGCAAAACTGATATGAAAATATATGGCATGTGTTACAATAAAAAACCATCAGTCGGGATAAATATAACCAACGCGAGAAAGATAGCAGATGATAAAACTGACAAATAGTCGGTGATAGCAGACTTACTAAAAATGATGCGAAATGTTCTGATGTCATGACAGCATTAAAACCTACAACAGGCACCAAAGCAGCTAACAATGTTCCCAAGACAACCTGCATTCAAAATGTCAAAGTTATTAGTGAAGCAATTATAGATCAGATATCGTTTGTGTTCTTATACTCTAAGGATACTTACAAGTGGAGCATAAGCAATGTAGAGGCGTGAAGAATAGCGACCAGTTACAATGCACAGCAGCACATGCATCGGAATAAGATTTATTATGAAGGTATACCCTCCCCAAGAGCAAACCTGAAAATATACATGAATAGAATGAATATGTTCATCGAACATGATAAGAGTAGAAACATGGATTAAGATTTAAAATAAATAATAAATGGAGCGTGCAAAACCACGCAGCAGGGAAACCTACCATGTAAAAGTATGCTATCGCATTGAGAGTAGCATAAAAAAGGGATCCTGTGTTCAAGGTCTGCGCAGTCAATGAAATATTATTAAATACAGCATTACAGCATTACAACATTTCAAGTCCCTTATTCTAAAAGAAGTCCACGAGTAATATATGGATCAGGAGATGTAATGTATGTGAGGGAAATTTATTAGTTTTTATAAAGATAATAATGCAGCTGATAAAGTAATTAAGCATCGAAAACATCACTATTACCTTTATGTACAGATAAAAAGTGATGATCAAAGCAAATATAGCCACAGCTTCATTGTCATAGCTTCCAGCCACAGATCGAGAGATATAAGATGGTACCTGTGCAATAAGAGAAGTAAGGACTTCTACAGTGCTGTATAGCTTATTGTAGAGAAGGAAATGCAAGATGGATACATTCATATTTTCAACATGCTAACAACTGGAAAAAATGTAAAAGCATAAGGTACCATGGCTAGAAGAGCTGCAGCAGTCAACCCAGCCCCAACGCCTTTGACTTCCTACACACAGCTTTAATTGATAAACCTCACCAACAAAAGAACTCCTACTTACGTCTATTATCTTGGATAGTAATCATAAGAGAAGAAGTCAGATTAATGAAAAAAAAACCTTTGTGAGTAGATATGTCGCCCACGCAGCAAAAGCCGAAAAAATTGGAGCCGTAAATACACAAACAGTTTCCACCGTTAGAGGAATGTTTAAGGCGTTGAATATCCTGCAAATAAATTTCATACGTACAATCAACTTTTATATCTTTATTATATGACTGGAAAACAATTAAGAGATGAGGGGGATTCATAGCTTGGCAGGAATCTTGAGAATAACAATAATTTAGCAGTTCAGACCTCCATAAAGTACCCGCAGTCAACGTAAGTCCAGGGTAAACAGTTCCACCAATCACACGTCCAAGAGGATACCTTTCAACCAGAAACGAATAACCTCAATACGGTAATCAAAATTGACATACAATTGTAACATTTTCTTAAAAACACAAACTTGATGCTGTCTGAAGAGTTTACCATGTTCGGTCATCAAACCAATTCCAAAAGTCATATACTCCACTTTTGATGAGAAACTGCAACCAACAGAACATACGTCACTTTCATTATTTGATTATACAGACTTTCACCCACAAAGTAGCACATGAAAGGAGTTATTTTGACAAACAAACAAACAAGCGAGAGAAAAATAAGAAGATGGTGACTCATTTCTACACAATGTAGGTGGTAATGATGTAAAATGATTTATAAGTAGGAGTAATGGTCTCCTCTAGCAACTTGGATCAACCGTTATTGCAAAGTGATGGTTAATGTAAAATAATTGCTAGTGAATCCCATTTTGCCAGAGTCTCCCTTCCTACCCCTTCAACGTTGGGTTGTGGTGGAACAATCCTAAAGTATGTAAAGAATAGGACAGGGCATCAGATGGTTAATAAGGTGGTTGTAATATCCAACATTGGTAGTTGGAAGAAAAAAATAGAAATGGTTTATAAGTGTTCCAATGAAATCCTCCAGCAGTTTCGGTTGATCATTTTTCAATACGAGAATGGATTGGAAGTACATTCTAGGAAGCCAATTGAACAAAAACCAAAACCTTTCCTTGTGTGTATGTGTGTATACCTCACATATCAAATATATATTTTCTTTAATTTCACTCTGTCCTGCTCACATATGTTTTCAAGCACCAGGATCTTACATGCACTTTTAAGTCTATAATCTTTATCTTCATTAGATGTACGACCCCTGATTTTCAGCTATTTTATATAATATCATCCGATGGAAATTCAATATACATTTCGAAAATACATTTCTTACATCAAGTTCAAATGACAAATCTGAGATTTTACATCTTCACATACAGTTACATAAAAAGATGCTATTTTGCCCACCATTTTAGGCACCAATTCCACCATTACAGCGCTTCATTAAGATCAGAATCAAAAATTGTTAAAGGATTACTTGAATACAGTTTTTACAAATACTAAATACTACATGATTTGTGATCTGCACTTGGAATTCATTGAGAATGGCATATTATTCACTGGGAACTATTCTTAACCTGTTATGATTGTATATTAGCTGTTGGCATCTTAGCAAAAGTAGTGATATAAATCCAATTCAATTGCTTAGTTTCAGCAACAATGTTTTGAACAATCCCTTCTCTTCACATTCTCACGAATACACTACATGATTGTGAATCCAAAAAGATACATAAAACAAAAAAAAAAATCACTTTCTAGGATGAACTTATCATGTAGATTACAAAAAACAGCATCTTCACAAATCCAGTAAAGAAACGAGACAAACCTGCGTCACTCTGTAATTGAAATAAGGATCGAATTCATGAATTACACTCTCGTACTTAATCACCTGCACACCAGAAAGTCAACAATGAGAAAATATACATACAATTTCATCGCTAATATTCAAAATCCGGACGAAACATTCAATCAGCTACTAATGAGATGTCATTTAACAATAAATCATTTACATCCAACGGTTCGATCGAGCATGTACAGGAACAAACAATGAACAGATTCACGAGAACGATGAGAGAGAGAGTGAGACTTACGGAAAATAAACGGATCGAGAAAGCGAGAACGCCGATGAGTAATAGAATGAGGAACGAAAGCACATTCCCGAATGCGTGACGGATAGTAGCAGCCTGTTGTTGTGGATTCTCCGGCGCCGCCATTGACGGCCGTGATTCGGAATCTCTGGTTCTGTACGAGAATTGGGGATTTTTTTTTTTTTCACGAATAAACAAACGCACAGTAAGTGTGGAAAATGAGACTGAAGGCGGGGTTTTGTAGGCTATAGCAAATAGAACAGACTTTGGGGGTTAGGACAAAGACTCTCCGTTAGATGCCGATTGATGCGAAATGACAAATTTGGCCTTTTGATTTTAATTTTTTTTCTTACTTTTATGGTTCCTGGATATGCAAAAATGGCACGTGGCGTATTCTGATTGGTCGCTGTGACATGGCAATTGTTGACTGTTCATGTTGGTTGTGAATAATTGAGTCTGTGACTTGATTCATATTTCATACTATTCATTATTCAATATATACATCGAAATAACCTTGCCCAAAAAAATAAAATAAAGACATAATAACATATAAAGTAATAAAATTAAGTGCGCATATTTTTTTGTGAATATATATGTACACAATAAATATATTAAGATTCTCAAAACATTCCTTTTTTTATTCATTTGTGATACAAAACTTATTTTATATATTTATTCATATATTTGAGTTATACAGATATTAACGGTACTTATATGATATTAATCTATATTGATTTAGACTATCGAATCTTGCCAATTGAATGTCTTCCTAGCTCATACTATTTAGTTACTAATTCTTAGTAGCAATAATCGATCGAGTCTAAAGAGCATGAATTTTATTGCTTAGTCGTTTTTCGCTTTGGATAGAGAGGCGTTTTCTCTCTAGCCGACAGCTCTAAAGAGTATGAACTTTTTTATCACGAGGCATATCAAATCTCATAAGATTACGAAAAAAATAAAAAAAAATGAAAGTTGTATATTTCATTATTTTGTGAAGGTGTTCCAAATACAACTTGAATCAGTAAAATCAGAGTTCGTATGAAAAAAAATATGATCATAATAATCAAGTGTTATGGGAGGTAGGTACACAATAAGATCAAGTAGACAAAGTTTCGCCGGAGGACCGCCTTCAACTTGCCACCGCCGCCATAAAACCGCCGATCGGCGCCAACAACGGATCGGATCTGAATACAGAAGAAAAAGTATTGAAACTTATATAACCAAGACCACAAGTCCCTCTTATGTTAAATCGATTTAAAAATCTCAATTTAATGAGAGAGCTTCAAAGCATAGAGTATGCAGAGCCAATCAATCTTCATTCCCAAACTTATTTCTAAGGCAAGCTATAAGCAGGAATTTTAGCCAACTTATTCTCCTTCATAACTCCCCTCAATCTCTCGACTTCCTCCCACAAACCATGGCTCGCGTAAATATTCGACAAAGCCACATACACACCGTCGTTATCCGGTTCCATCTCTATCAAGTGCTTAGCCACCCATTCCCCCGTTTTCACATCTCCGTACTTCTCGCACGCACCCATCAAACACCCCCATATCACCACGTTCGCTCTCATCGGCATTTCCTCCACCATCACCTTCGCCTCTTCCATCAAACCCGCCCTCCCGAGCAAATCCACAATGCATCCGTAATGCGGCAAAACGGGCTTAATACCGTACACAATTTTCATCGTTTCGAAATAATATCTCCCTTCTTGCACCATCCCACCATGCACGCACGCAGTCAAGACTCCGACGAATGTCACGTGATTAGGCCTCACGCCAGATTCTACCATCTCCCGGAAGAATTCGAGTGCGTTCTTGAAATGCCCGTGTGTAGCGTAGCCTACTATCATGGAAGTCCACGAAGACACATTCTTGTCCTCCATTGTGACAAAAGCTTTGCAAGCCAAATCCATTCTGCCACACTTTCCGTACATGTCGATAACCGAGTTCATCATCAAAAGATCCGATCTTTCCGGATTTTTGGCCTGGAAAACGCACTTGTGCAGTTGAAGGGCTAAATTAAAATCGCCTAAACTTCCGCAGGCCGACGTCACGCTAACCATGGTGACATCGTCGGGTCGAAAACCATCTCTCATCATTGATTGAAACATATCTATGGCCTCCTTACTACGCCCTCCTTGCGACAAACCTCCTATAATAGCATTCCAAGACCCCAGCTTTCTGTCAGTACTATTCACAAACACCTTGCGCGCACTACTGACTAGGCCAGCTTTAGAGTAGACGCTGATCAAACCGCTCTCGCAGTACATGTCATTCTCCAGGCCGTACTTAATCGAAACCCCGTGTACTTGTTCCGCAAACGTTCGGTTCAGATTCTGGCCGGCGGCTTTCAGAACGATCGGGAGCGTGAAATTGTCGGGCGGGACGCCGGCGCGGCACATGGCGATGTAAACATGCAGCGCCTCCGTCGGCGAGTTCAGCCTGGTGTAGATTCTGCTGATGTTATTGTAGTGGAAGGAATCGGGATAGAATTGAAGGAAATGGGTCCTGATTACGCGGGCGAAAAGTTGGCGGAGTTGGTTCAAATTGGCGCAGTTCGATACTTGGAGTGCGATTTCTTTCGGGTCGAGTGGGATTGTTCGGTGAGATTGGGAGGCGGAAAATTTGCCGGAGAATCTGCGGTGATCGGAAAATTTGAAATGGTGGAAGTTGCAGTATTGGATTTTGGAGAAGGTGATTGCGGATTTGTGAAAGGATTTCATATCTTTGTTAAGAGTGTAATTGTTACCCTGTTTCTGCATGGATGCTTTAGAAGTTACATTATTTCGATTTCGAAATAACTCGGAATTAGCGGAATTTCATAATCTACATTAGTTGGAATTTTCAGGGTTTTTGACATTTTCCATCATTCAATTACACCATTTTGGCACTTTGCACTCTTAAATAGCAAAATTGGCAGATTGCACCCTTAAAACATAAATTGTTTGGCACTTTGCACCCCAAATCAATTTTGGTTTAAAAAACTTACCTGCAACTTGTTGGGAAACCTGGAAGATAAGCAAATTCATAATTTTCTTAATATGTATCATCTTTCCCCAATTGTTGATCACTCTTCCACCATTTTTATCTTTTTAGCCATTTCTTTCAGTGGTAAACCAGTGTAAACACTAAATAATAAGAGTAAATCACTTTTTTTTTTTCTTTTCTTTTGAGTTTGAAAAATAATGTAGCTGGAAATTTTAGGCCGATCCTTAAAAAAAATTCTTTTTTTTTTAATAGTCAAATGAAAAAATAAGACTACTGGGGAATTTTATTTGGTAACAGAGATGTGGTGCCGATTAGTTTCATGATGGGAGGAATTTTGTGCTCCCATTGAATAGTCTGTATGAAAAATGATTAAAAAAACAGCGTACCATGGAATAAAACTTGATCTTCCGAAGGTGTGTTATCAGACTCTTGTCTATGTATTCCGATCGTTCTTGAGTTTTAGCTCAGAATTTACATATTAGGGCAAATAGAAATAGCTAAAAAGAATTTATGATTTTTTTGATTAAAAGGACGAAAGATAAAAATTGTGGAACGATGATTAATAATTGGGGGAAGATGATAGATAATTAGAGAATTACATATTTGTCCATCTTCCAGGTTTTCAACAAGTTGCAGGCAATTTTTTTAAGCTAAAAGTGGTTTGGGGTGCAAAGTGTCAAACAATTTATGTTTAAAGGGTGCAATCTGCCATTTTTGCAATTTAAGGGTGCAAAGTGCTAAGATGGTGTAATTCAAGGGTGAAAAGTGCAAAAAAAACCCGAATTTTCACAATATTTTCTAGGATTAAATTACGGCCACCCTTCTGAGGTATGGTCAAATTACGAAAAAAAATTCTTGTTTATGTAATTCAGTCACCCCTCCATTTAAATATGTTTACATAGAATTAATGTAATTCGGTTATTTACCGAACCAAATCGTATATTCGCTTTTGTAAACGGTATGAAATGTTGGCGTACCGAAAGTTTGATTCGGTTTTACTGATTTAACATTCCTAAATTTACCTTTGAAAGGGTATTTTTGTAAGAGATATAGTACATAGTTGAGGGGTGGCTGTAATTACCTAAACAAGAGGGGGTTCGTAATTTGACCATAATTCAGGGGTGGCCGTAATTTGTCCTATTTTTCAAATTTTTGCAGAAAAATGCAAGAAAATCCAAAAAAAGAGTTTGACAAATCGCAATAAATAAAACCACATGTAGGAACAATAACTCGAAACATACATTTTATGATAAGAAAAATGCAAGAGATAGTTTCTGTTCTGATACCAATTAATCTTTTTGAAGGTTTTAATTTACCTCACCTTTTAATATTTATATTTTTCATATAAAATATAACATGAGTTATATTATAGATTACAAAATATATCATAAAATTATATTATATATTTTCAAATATTCAGAACTAAAATCGGATCGAAAATCGAATTTTTCGGTAATTTATATACAATTCCGATTTCGTTCCAAATAAATACAGAAAAATCAGAACTTCAAAAATTGGAATGAAAATTACGATTCGGTCCTTTAAGAGTTAAAGAATTTGGTAATTGCAAATTCTAAATTTAGGTAACAAAACCATGGATACGAACTTATAATATATTCCAAGAAACTGAACATGGTCACATGCTTTAATTACATTAATTCAATCAAATCTAAAAACTAAAAAAATTGTTTAATTTTCGTGAAAATATAAGGAAGTTTGTTATTTTGTTCAAATCTTAAATATTTTCCATGCATTGATAATCCTATATAAATCCCCAAAACCCTCTAATCAAAAAAGTTTAATTTGCAGCCAAGAAAATAATGGGTTATCTAACTCCAGCTAAAGCAATATTGATCTTCCTCCTAGTTGTTCAATGCACACTTTCGATGAGTTTTCGAACCGAAAATACGAACAGTTACGATTTATTTGTTAGAAAATTGGGATACTTTCCCACAAACATGATGGAGAATATACCAAATGGAGACGAAGAATATTTTTCATTGAGACTCGTGCCCACCGGAGCGAACCCTCTGCACAACCAAGCACCCACCTCGTCTCAGCCCGACCTCAACCCCCCTGGACCTAACATGTTATGGTAGAATCCGCCGGAGGTATTATTTATTATTTTTATTTATTTATTTATTTATTTATTTATTTATTTATTTATTTATTTATTTATTTATTTTTTACTTTTTGGTATGAGATGTTTATATCATTAATATGATTTATTAGTATAAGTTATTGTTGATTTATATGCCTATAAAAATCAATTAACCTAAGTTGTAACAGTTAAGTTGTGGAAACAGTATTCAGTTACAACTATAATTCTTGTGTTAACACAGTTATAAATCTACTAAAAGCAGAATAAATGAACACAAGAAATTAATGTGGTTCAGACACAAATGTGCCCTACATCCACGTGGACCTGCAAATACGATTTCACTAGTTCAGATTTACAGTGTACATTAATAGGACTTATTAAAAACACTAAAGACTCCCTCTTTATGTAATATGCCGTTCTTGTACACAACTTGAACTCCGTGTCTCTTCCAACAGCAGCTCCACACCGCGTGCCTCGAACTCCCTTCAGGCCTGAACTCCCTTCAGAAACGCGGCTGATCTCCCTTGAGATCTATACAGCAGATCTGTATATATTGGCACACACAGCGATGGCACAGTGCAACGATGGCACAGTCCTGCTCCGCAGAACGCCTTGGCAAAACTTCGATGCTATGAAGTGGTTTTTCTCCCAAATAATGCCCACGGTTCTTGTATGTCTTGGAGGCTTATATAGCCACGAAAATAAGCCCTAAGACCTAACTTGGGCCCTAAGAAATCCATTTAACTAGGTAATAGAATCCTAGTTGATTTCTACTTCTATTCTAGATAAGTACAAAAGATACCTAACTAGAATAAAATACATGGAAATAAATCTAAGTCCTAATAGAAGTATTATAAGAATAGGACTCTAATAAATTCCAAAATAAATATGGAAAACAAATCTTTGCCAATCTTTTAATTCCAAAACTTGGCGGATTTCCTCGATCTTCAATAGCCGGAAATATGGCGCCAACAATCTCCCCCTTTGGCATAGATTGGTCAGAATCCATACTTAACAAGAACTCCCCCTGCATATGAGATTTTCTCTTTTTGCAGAAATGATTAACTCCCCCTGCATCACATACTGTTAGTACAATAGAAGTTGTTGTAACAGAGAAATTTCCTGCAGCACAAAGTTATCCAAAACAAGCCCAAGGCACAAAATAAAGATAACCAAGATGATATCCAAAAAACAGGAAAGTAATCATAACTATAACAGTCCTAAATAAGATATAAATTTAAGCAGTTCAAAAAGGACAACAAAAAAGTTTTTCAAGGAAACTTCCCTATAATCATAGTCGGAGAGCTGATCATTATCATAAGAATTGTTGGACGCTTTGCCTTGCGGTTGTGGACTGCTGCTTCATCATTGAAGTTTTTGCTGGGGCATGCGGAGTTGCATCTGGAGTTGTTGCTACTACTCCCCCTTTCTGACCAGACTGTGCCAAAGTCTTAAGAAGCTGGTCCTGAATAGACGAAAATCCCTGAGCAAGCTGAGCCTGGATAGACTCCAAAAAACGAGTGAGCTCATCCTTGGTGACCACATCAACTGGCGGCGGAATAGAAGCAGAGACAATTGGATCCTTTTTCACGCGAGAGGCCGTCTGAGCAACAGAAGGATCGATAGGAGGCAGATCAGCAAAATGTTCAGAAGAGACCTTACCATGGATAGTGATTGGACGGCCAGTAGGATCCAACAGAGTGGTATCACGAGTGGGCAGGCCTTGTTTGATCAAGAGCTGATATATCAAAGAAGAAAACGGCAGATGCTCACGCTCGGTTCGGGAATTGGCTAACACACCAATCTGATTGAAAATCCAATCACCAATATTGATTTTATGGTCATGAGTGATGCACCATAAAAATTCAGCTTGGGTGGGATTGAGAGTGGCATTGTGGTTAGTGGGAAACCAGTTGGAAATACCTATCTTGAACAGGACCGAATACAATTGAGCCAGCTTAGAGACATGAGAAGCAGATTTCGGACCAGGCCATTTTTTCAATACTTTGGCAGTGAGAACAGAGGCCAGAGTGTCCATAGAAACAGAAGGTTTAGATGTAACCCCGTTTGGACACTTAGAAAAGTCATTGATCAAAGCAGGAGTTACAGATGTAATCCTCACGTGAAGTTTTGTAAAATTCTCATTGATACAACCAATTTCAGGAGCAACCAGATGTCATGGGCCCAGAAGCATTAAGTAAACTCTTCTTCGCCTTGAGAGCAACCTGGACCACAGACAAAGCATCTTCTTGAGGATCATCAAAATGCTCAACCAATACCTTAGGATGAATAGTGATTGGTTGTTCAGGCATAGAAGCTGAAGTTCTCACTAAGAAATGTTGTGACAGTGAGTGATAGGTCAACGAGGGAAAAGACAGACACTCCAACTTTTTGTGCGAGAGTTAGCAAGAGCTCCATCTTGAGCATAGATGTACTCCCCAATGTTGATAAAAACAGCATGAGTGACGCTTCAGGGAAACTCAGCATACAGTGATCACAGCGGCTTTGTTGTACTTGACACAAAGGACTAAACAGTGATTTGATTCTTACACCGGTAAAGATCTTTATTCAATTCAGGAGCCACATTGAAAAATTTCCCTTTGCAAGTAACCGCGAGTCCCATCAACGGAGAATCAACAAAGAGTTAGGACTCTGGTGAAGATTCTGATGACTCAGATCTAGTTGGATGTACGGCAGTAAAGACAGCATAAGTCTGCTCTGAAAGAGATTGGTGGCCAC